AAGGTCCCAACTTGCGAAAACAGTAAAAAAGGATTTCGGTCTCACCTGCTTTGCACCCATCGCCATAGTGTACGGTATGTGTTGCTGAGGTTGAGCGATAACGTACTGCGAATAAGCGTTTATAGTCTGCGCTGTTTGGAGGCGCTGTGACTACGCCACTTTGCTGCTGACCAATCACACCAACTTGTTGACTTCTTCCTTGCTGTGCAATCGGATTCACTTGCTGAACTGGCATGCCTAACGGTGGCGATGACATCGTTAAGAGAGATGTTGGCTTTTGTTGTGAAGACTGCTGTGTCGGAGCTATTGGAGCAGGAACTGCAGAAGTGGGAGCGACACCTTGTACAGAACCCATCGATGACATCATAAGGGGTCCTCCCATTCCTCCATCAAGAGGTGGACCACTCATCGTTCCAGCAAGGGGCAGATCAGTGAAGCGAGGTACTCGGATCTGCTCCGGTGATTTGCACCTGAACGAGCGGGAGAATGTTACTGTGAAAACTCAATTTGACAGTGTTCATTGTACGGTTCCATGATTTAGCCTTCAAAAAATGCATTGGGGAAAACATCTAGAATACCTCATAAAGGGCCTAACTATCAACTATTTTCCCTGCCAAGAGCGCGTTCATACTTTGCGGCAGAGCCTCGAGCGTCTCAGCGTTTTTAGCGTTTCGCGCGCTTTGAGCGACTCAAAATAGTTCTATATTCTATATCGATTACCGCTGAAGACGCCGGCGGACACTCAAAACGCTAAATCGATACCTATACTTTCCTAGTCGCTCAAAACTCCGGAAGATGCTCAAAACCCTGGCGGGGCCCAAAACGCTAACTTTCAAAAATCTCAAAACTCTGGATCGATACCTAAGTTTCCTGAGCGTTCGGAACGCTGGTGGGAGCCCAAGACGCTGACGCTCGAAACGCTCAAGACGCCGGGACGCTCAAAACGCTGGCCGCAAAAAGTATGTAGGCCCATTAAAGGAAAAAAAAAAACACTTACCTACTGACAATGGCGACATTCTGAGCGTTTTGCGTATTGTCAGGCTTGTACTCTGGCCCCATGATTCGATCTCGCGCTTTGACAACAAAGCTGTTTTTGCTGCAAAATATCTCGTGCAGCTAAAGAGACTCAGCATAAAAAAAGAACTCACATCAGGGAGTTAACTGATTTTTCGCTCGCTTCTTCGACCTCTGGCACGTTTGCGCCTTGATACTTCTCTTCCCTTATTTTGTCACTACTTTCGGGACGCCGAAGAATTCTGACCGGAGCAGGTGGAGCCCCTCCCGGACCGGCAGGTAGGACGGATGGCGTAGGAATAAGACTCGGACTAAAAGTGGATGCTGCCAGGTTACCTTGAAGGTATGAAGGTAATCACAGGAATAACTCACTTCAGTCTCGCTTCCTCTTGGCATTTCGCTGCTTTCTCCTTGCGAGCCTCTTTATCCGCCTGTGCCCTTTGCAGAATGCGAATCTAAAATCGCTCATTCAATCGTTTGAACTCTCTTCATGTAAACGTCAAGTATTCATCAGTAGCAGTACCCCCTGTCAGCAATGTAATTTCTATGAGTATATGGATCACAATGGATCGTTAGTGGGTGGCTGTGGGTAATTAATATGGTATAAAATGCAAGTAATATACAACACGGGCAGGAATATTAATGGTCATATCTATCTGTGGGACCAAGAGTTGGGTGAGACCGTTCATACTTCGCGTTCACTCAAAGCATACGGTAGAGGGACAGATAGTAAACAGGACGCGTAGTGCAAATATGCTGGCAAGAGAAGGTGTTCACATGTTAGAGGAAAGAGCCAGATTTGTATGGGGGCGGGAGGGGGGGACACGCAACAGCGCCTTTTGCCTCCCCTTATCCAAGGCTTACGAGAGAGATAGACGGATAAGACTATGGTAATTCATATAAATACAAATTTAAGCAAATGCAAGACTCCATGATGGGCGATATAGAAACTTCCTATCATTTTAATACTCAAATTCAAACGGCCAATCACGACAACTCGTCCATCAAGCGCGGCATCGCTCGCCACATCCATCAGACTGTCATCGCGGTTGTCACATGCCCCTTACGAGGTCAGGGACCAGATTAAGCGGCCGCCTGCCCCTCCACCCCCTACTCTCGAACTCTTCTAACCCCTATAAGAATTTTACGTTCCGAAAACTATAGGGGAAAAGAGCTATTGATCATCAGGAAACTGGTAACCGAAACTAGTGAACATATGAGAAACATTCATCACTACTAGTACAAATTTCAGCTGAAAACGAGCCCCTCACAAGGAACAAGATGAAAAAAGGAAAAAAAATACTTGTGACGATGTATACGAAAACCAGTATACATGTTGTAAGCAAAAAGTTTGATACTCAGTGAGCGCAGGAACTGGAAAAAGTATCGATCGGACGAAATTCCCAGATGTACAGGAACACAAACACCTTCTTCTTAAGCCGTACTGTAGGTTTTCAACAATGATTTCTCGGGGCTGTTTCCCACCGCCAGACTTGCTGATGTTCAACGATTCACGCATGCTGTCAAATAAATCACGAAATCACGTGCGGGTAACCAATGAAAACCCCGAGCACGAATGAATTTTTCGCGTGATGTGTGGAACTGAGCTGAACAGATGCGGGGAAAAAGATAACTTCGCAGAAAACGTCACCGCTCCCTCAGAATTACTGTAACTTTGGACTGATATTTAGGTCATGAGTTGAAACATGGAAGACTCATCATGCATTCACATTATTTAACACGTTGCGGACCGCGTGACATACATGGTGTGTCATAAATTTGTCTCTATGCGGTGTTTTACGCAATCAATTTGGCTCTCCCTTCATGTTCCAGTGTTGTAAAAAACCATTCTAGCTAATGGAAGATACTTACCCATAAGCGATTCAAAAAAGGGGTAAATTAACGATGAATAACTCATGAAAAATGATAAAATGGTACCGCGGAATATGCGCGCCAGTACGGCGGTCGCGCAATGTGTTGCCCGCTCTCTTATTCCCAACAAAGATAGGAAAACAGTTTAATCCTCTTTCCCAAACAAGGCTGTTGTACCAATCACCAGACCTAAGAAATCAAATCATCCTTCGGAAAAGCGTTGATCAGCTCAACAGGATCTGAGCTGCCGCTCTTCAATGTAAATTTTCTTGTGTTACAAGTCTGCATTGGAACAGCCAGCCGTTCCATTCAAAGCAAGCGAAAACACGGGGGAGAGTCGCCAAGTGTGACAACTTTGGCATTTGCCAAATCAAAAAGTTGTTTGTGATCGTTTTTTTGGGTTATTAAACAACATATATTATGTATGACTGACAAAATTGATTAATGACAGCAAATACCAGCACACACGGAGGTCGCCATCATGTTAGCCAGACTCCCAGTGCTGTCTAGAAGCGATACGCAGCATGCAGTAGCTACAATTCTTGATAATCACCAAAAAAATTGAATGTATGAATATGGTTATTTTTATTTGGTTTTGTGGTCAAATATTGGTTTGAATAACTAAAAGATAGAGAATTTTCACAGAAAATTGACGAGAAGTCGGTCACAGTTCGGCGACGGGGCGGGGGGGGGGCAAATTTTTCATTCGCTGCTTCCCTGTCTTCTGGTTCAGTTTCCACAGAATATTCACAAGAAAAGCTTTGGCTAGGCCACAAATTTGGCGGCGGGGGGGCTTTTTTTCCAAGTTCGTTACCTTCACCTAGCTTCTGTTTTGGCAGGACTCACTCGGCGGTAAAAAGCTGGTGAACTCTCGTGGAGGCTGGGCAACAAGCTCGCCGACACCATGGTAAACCAGTTGTACTCTTGTGAGCTCCGTAAATACCTTTCTCTAGTATGGCTCGACACTTTTTAGGCGATGAAGCAAAAAGTGCCAATGCGTCCGCCCCGCCGCCCCCGTCGAAGGGCCTGCACTAGAAGGAAATATGCCAAGGGAAACTATGCTCGAGCTCTTACGCGTCATGCTAACCGCGGTATATGGCGAGAGTAATCGAATTCGCCGCGCCCCCGTTGGGAGTCGGCGTGCGTCGCGCCCCTGACGCGACGGGGTCGGTGGCATTGGTCGGGAATAGGACAATGTATGACCAAAAATAGACATAAGTGTCTTCCATGTCCTTGTCTACGTGAAATCCGGTGCTCCAATCGAAAGGGCAGTGCAGATTGAGGACACGTCGCGCCCATTGCCGCGCGCGGTGAAGCAGCGATTTACGATTCTCTCTTGCCGCCGTCTACCCAAACACGTTCTGAAGAGCTAGTTCTAGCCCACGTGTTTGAGCTGATTTTAATCCGAAGCTTTATAGGATTTCGAAGGCACACACCGCAAACGTGGCCGCTGCAACATGACTCAAATGAAAAGATATCGAATAACATAAAAGCGAAAAAAAGCGAAAAAACGCATCCCGGAAAGCCTGCCATTTAAACACTGGGCCCGCAACCTCTTTTGTACTGGTTATATCTTGGTCAACCCAACACACGAAAAATAATATATTTGTGAATGAATTCCACAATGAAAAGTAGCAACTTTAAGCGAGACGGAGCAGGGAAAAACGTCGAAAATTATGCTGCTTGAGAGGTGTACGTACAGGATGGGACGTGAAACAAGAGTGCATTCAACAACTGCAAAAGAATTCCCAACTCAAGGATTGTCTAGACATATAGCCCCGCTCAGCACTTCTGACTTCTTTTTAGAGTTCACACCAGAAAGGAAATTTGATACCAGGAACTACGAATCTAGGTCACCGGGCGCGTTGACTCATCTTGATCATCCAATGTGAGCGTAAACTAATTATCACCGAATATACCCCACATTCTCTAGCGTAATATTGATTGAAGCTGAATAACTGTCGCGGCAAAGTTTGTGGTATAAGCAGATGAAGTTTTAGGCAGTGTAACTCTCGTTGCTGCTCCGTCTAGAAAAAACTCAGAGGATGGAAGCCCGCGGATTGTTGCCCACCTTTGATAAACAGCATCGCACTGATGAGTTTTTGGCAGTCATCAACGGCATGGCGTTCTATCACCTACTACTCGCGCGAATTCTTATTGTTTCTGTCCATTTCGCCCGAATTACGCCTCTCAAGCTCGCCACACATGAAGATTTGAACAAAGTATAATGCAGGCTTGCCTGCATCAAATGAACTGGGTAATAGGTCCAGGTGTACCCCCAAGTTTTGGTGATTCTCGCATGGGAACATGAACTTTGGCCACGCCCCCATCCATGTCGGCCTATCAAGCTTATCAGCCAGTACGGAGTTTTGCTGAGCTCGTAGAAGGCCACAGATCGGTCTTCGTTGGAATCGGGAACGAAGTTTTTCAACGTCGTCACGAGCGACTAGGTGACGGATTCTACGCTTCAGAGGGCAATGTGGCTCAAGGAAAGCGTTACAAGATGCAAACTTCATTCTCTCTACTCGGCGAATAGTAGGATTCCTCTTGTGTGAAACTAGAGGTGCAGTAGAGCGTACGTTACGGCTACAGATGCATGTCTGCCTAAGCGTAAATCAGCGCAACAGTCGCTCCCTTTTGGCATCAAAAGTAAGTGGGATATTGGGCATTATCGGTGAGAAATACTGAG